GAAACAACGATATGGTCAGCCACACAAAATTAATTCAAGCTATACGAAGGCATTTTGGGGACTACCGCCACCAGATAATACGTTATCCAGCATGACGAACTCTTATGACAATCTCGAATCTCACATCGGTCAAGGTGCAGATTCGTTTGGTGATCTACTTGTGCCAGTTATTTTTGAGAAACTACAGTCAAACGTCAAAACCCAGATTTCCCGCGAGCATGCCAACACAGCGTGGTCACTACACGAATTAAAGGAAGCGGTCCATAAGGAAATTCAAGCCAGACAGATAGGTAACCCCATAGAACACTTCAATGATAATTCGCCAGTGAAAGGTGTCTACCCGCTAAAACATCCTTTACTGTTGGGTACAAATTTTCTAGATCTGCGGTCGCTAAACCCATGAGATCCTTCAAGTGCGTCTCCTGCAAAGGGCCCCGCTCTAAACACGTCTGTGAAACCGTTGTCGGACTTGACACACGTAATGCACGTAATGCAATTGTGAAAATATACAGATTGTGCTTCAACTGCTTAGGACACCATAAGGTTCATGGCCGCAAATCCAAATTTCATTGTAGAATAACCTGAATTATCACATCTCACTGTTGTTATGCATGCTGCGACTGGTTGAGACTCGGTAACATGACATTGAGTAAGAATGGTATATTGCCCGCCAAGTGGATATTACATGGGTATATCACATGGATGACGTCACTGAAACTACTGCGCAACGACACTGCGCTTAACAAATTGTCATTCGCTGCACTGGGGCTGCCCCGGCCGCTGTTGTTTTCGGGGCTGCTTTCAAGGTTTTGAAGGAACTTTAGCCATCCGACAAAGACAGTGAAAGTGCCAGAATGAATATTAAGTAAGATACTCTGTTTTGATGTTTAGGGTATTTTTTATATGAAGCAAAAATGTATGGCAGCCGCCACTGAAACGTCGCAGCCGGGGTCGCTGCAGCGCGTTCTACGCTGTGAGCATTTCTACGCGTTCCACGCCGATGCTAACCGAAAACACTCTAAAGTTTTGTGGACTGTGAAAAGATGTGGTACGTTTTTGAGAAAGTAATTTCAGTCACTTCCACGGCACTTTGAAATTGTTATCTGTAGAGTGATCAAATAACTTGCGTTTGAGAATTTCTCAATTCATTTCAAAAATGTTATTCTCGATAATTTGAGTTATTCACACTGCTGAAGCACGGTTACTAAAATAGTATCCATAGCTGAAAATAACATTTTCTGAATGTATTTTTTTTTCAGCAAACAATGTATGTACGTTATTGAGTAATATGAAACTTGTTATAATAGATAAAATAAAATATTGAATACTTCAAATATAAGTGTTGTTATTTTGTGGGAGAGCGGGTGTGAGTGATGTATGGTATCTGTGATTGTCATGGTTGATGTCTGTTTGATGTGATAAAATAAATAACACATGGTTATTCAGGCAATATCACGATCAGTTGTCTGCCTTCGGGCTGCTGGTTATGAAAATAATATTGATGATGCCCTCGCCTTCGGCTCTGGCATCATCAATATTATGGTCATGACCACCATCCCATGGGCAGGCAACAAATCGTGATATTACCCTCACAAGCATGTGTTATTATTTAAATGTAATCATACACTTTTCGTCGTATCATGTTTTATAGTATTGTGGTTTTAATATTCGTAATTGTACGTAATATTCGAATTGTGCTTTTTTTCATTTTTTTCAAGTATTTGACCCACGTCATATTTTTCGTTAATTCATATTGTGTCAATTCATTTTTATATTTCTGTTTATATCCTTATTGGTTTAACCCTTCAAGTATCTATCTGTTTAACCGGCCCGCCCGGAGTGTAGGCACACCTCGTCTTAGTCTCTCCTACTCCACGGCCCGAACCTTTCCCTACAGTAACCAACTGGCATTCAAAACAACTCAAACAACTCGGAAATATTTATATTATATTAAGCAAATTTTGACTTCTAGCAAACTTACGTTTTGCTTTTGCCAGACCCCTCTGAATTTGGCCCTGTAGTCCAGTCAATTTATGGTTTGACCAATCACAAATTGCAACAGAAATAATTTCTTCACAATACATTCCGGGGAGGTGACTAGATTGACATACTAAAAGTCTAGGAAAATCTAGGCTTCGGAAATATACCTAGTTTGCATATATTCAAAATGACCGTTTGGTGCATTTTTACAACATGGAAAATATAACTATTAGGACATATCTTTAATTCTAGATGACATTTTTTAGATATTCAAGTTGCTGCGATATGGTTTGGTGTGTGTGAATGTATGTGATTGTGAAACATTTGATTGATTAACAATTCTATTTGCATAAATCCAATATGGCCGTCAAAATAGTATCATTTGAATGTGCAGCCTTGGACAGCTCCTCGGAGTCTGTTCCTCATAATGACTCCGACAGCCACGCCGTGGGGTGAGGGGGAACATCGATCCATGTTACCCGATGTTCAATCAAACCCCCCACCCCACCCTCGGTCCTGAAACAATCACTCTCGGTAGGACTGTATTCAGTATTGCTTTGGATCGCGCCAAGTGATAGACGTAGGGGCAATGCATAGACGGTGATGGTGGGCGGACCCTGGTCCCCAGCGGGGTAGAGGCCTAAGTCCTTAGGGTAGGTAAATTTTAGGCTCAACCTTTTTCCACTGAATCAAGTACTAGTCGATCAGGCAGTGTTTGAGACCGGAGCCAGCAGAGTCTGGAGTCAAATCACGTGTTCTGATCAGATCTTTCGGTTCTTCCCCAACCCTGGTATCACGACTTTTTTTGGTTCGGTGGGACGGGCAAAATGGGTGGCAACATTTATCGAATATTTCGACCGGTTACTCGGGAAAATCCACGCACTGACTGCAGAGAGGCGACCCTCAACATTTTGAGTTCTGGCCAGCCCACTGAAACGAATTGTTTTGCGCCGCCAGCACTCTGAAGTCTCAATGGCGGAACGCACCAGCCTCCTAGACCCACTGACCTGTTGGTACAGGTGGGACCCGTGAGCCAGTTTGGCTTCTGCCTTATGGACAATCAAGTCGTGATAAAGACACGAATCAGGTTTCTTGCCAGGAAGCAAATTCCAGGACGCGATCCACAACCGATTGTCATTCCTGTAATGACTGGCAAGGAGTAAGCCCCTGAATTTCTCTTGAGGATAGTGAGATGCAACTGCTTCACAGACTGTCGCAGTCTCAGATGTACCTGCAGAAAGCACAACCTTGAAGGTTTTGCAGTTTGTGGTCAGTGTCGGGGATCTGGATGCAAAAATGTAGTTCAGATATCTGATGAAGATAGCGATGATGATTAGCAATTACATTAATTAAACAATAAACTTTTGGACAAAATTATAACTATTTAATACAGTTTGTTAAATCAAAAATATAGTTTATATAGTTGAAATGGTCTATTGTGTATATAGTATACCAGATTTGTAGATCCAACCAAGGTGTTTCATTCCTCTAGTTTTTCTTATATATGGTACAGCCATGTTGGATTTATGCAGATGAAGCATCCGTCTACCCAGGAAACCTTTTATTTACATCTTTTCTGTACTGTACGATTCTGTTTAAAATATTCTAGCATTCTAGCATCTTAAACTTATTACTTATGCCAAACAGAAGAGAAGCCGGAAGAGAAGTTACATTA